CAGGGTGAAACGCCATCCCCATCCCCGCTGGAGCTGCGCTGCGGCAGTTTTGGTCCAAATCCCGAATTTGCAGCGGTGGCACAGCTGGAGGGTACGGCCCAGGCGCTGTGATGCTGCCAGGGAAGGGATCCGTGCCTTCCCGGAGTTGGTTTGCTCGCTCATCCCGCGGCTGAGCTGTTTGTCCTGCGGGTGGTGTTTGCCTTCCGCTCAGTTATCGCCACCTGTGCCAACCCCGGGGCATCCCCGCAGGGTGAGGGCAAAGCGGGACCGGGACAGCCCTGTCAGGGCCCGTGTCACCCCTGTGCCAGCTCCGGGGGTTTGGGAATGAGGGATGGGGACATCCCTGCCAGGGCCCGTGTCACCCCCGTGCCAGTCCTGGGACAAGGGCAAAGTGGGACCGGGACAGCCCTGCCAGGGTCCGTGTCACCCTTGTGCTAATCCCGGGGGTTTGGGCAGAGCGGGGACCAGGACCTGCCAGGGCTGGTGTCACCCCTGTGCCAGCTCCAGGGGTTTGGGAAAGTGGGGACCAGGAAATTCCTGGCATGGCCAGTGTCACCCCATGCCAGTCCCAGGGCAAGGACAAAGTGGGACAGGGACAGCACTGCCAGGGTGTCACCCCTGTGCCAACCCTGGGGGTTTGGGCAAGTGGGAACAAGGACAGCCTTGCCAGGGCCTGTGTCACCCCTGTGTCAATCCCGAGGTGAGGGAAAGTGGGACTGGGACAGCCCTGCCAGGGCCGGTGTCACCCTTGTGCTAATCCAGGGGGTTTGGGCAGAGCAGAGACCAGGACCTGCCAGGGCTGGTGTCACCCCCGTGCCAGCTCCAGGGGTTTGGGAAAGTGGGGACAAGGAAATTCCTGGCATGGCCAGTGTCACCCCCATGCCAGTCCCAGGGGGAAGGCAAAGCAAGGACCAGGACAGCCCTGCCAGGGTGTCACCCCAGTGAGACAAGTGGGAACCAGGACAGCTCTGCCAGGGCCCATGCCACCCCCATGCCAGCCCCGGGGGTTCGGGGGTGAATCCTGGCAGGGCCGGGCTGCTCCATCCCCATCCCACCCACGAGCTCCAAGGATCCTGATCCCCCAGCTCGTCCCAGGCTATTTTGGGGTGCAGCCCCTTTGCCCAGGGGTGTTTGGGGGGCACTGGGGGCCAACTGGTGCCCGCCTGCCCATCCTGGGAGGCCGACTTGGCCCCGCTTCCCCTGAGCTCAGCAGCTTTCCCGGCTCACCTGTTCCTGGGCCGGCTCGGGCTGCAGCAGATGGCAAAGCCCACCCTAATGAAGATTAATTGAGGAGATTTCGCCTTCCCCGCCGGGTTTTCATTATTGTTTTGGGGGAGGTTTCATTGCTGCTGGGGCCGGGCTCTGCTCCTGCTGGGTCCTGTCCCCGTGTCCACGCAGTGCCATGTGCTGGGAAAGGGGGCTGGAGATGGGAATTTTATCTGGGAGAGGTGAAACACCGGCTCTGCCTCTGCTCCCTCATCCCCCGGGATGGGGAAGCCCTGCAGCTCCTGTCCCTCTCTCCCTGTCCCCTCCCCTGCCAGCATTCCTCGGCTTTCCAGCTCCTCTTGGAAAGTGCGAAGAGCAGCGAACTGGGATGGGATCCTGGCACTGCCGGTCCCCAGCGGGGTTTGATGGAGGGCTGAGGATGTAAAACCCCCCATGGGTGCTTGGTAGAGCGGCTGCGAGCGGAATTCCTGCCCGGGAGGGATGGGGGATGCTGGTTCCTGGCTCCCCTCGCTGCCTTCAGGCATCTGACCCTTCCCTAAGCCGCTTAAGCGCTGCCGGCAGCCGGGACGGGGCGTTTGCCCAGGCTTTACAAGTTAATTCCTAGCAGGTGATGTGTTCCCAGAAAGTTCCTTTCCCAGCCAGCCCCGTGGGACCTCTCATGCCTGTATCCTTCCCCAAATCCTACGGGATGCTGCCTGGGAGGGCAGGTTTCCATCACGGTGCTGCTCCAGAGCCAGGGCCACCCACAGCAAAGTCCCAGGCACAGGGACCCCCCTCCCTGCTCGCTGGATGAGGCGAGGGGCACAAATCTTTGCAGGCTGGGAGATTTCTGCCTTCTCCTCTGCTTTGTGCTTCGCTGCCCGTGTAATTGCCTGCTAAATCCTGCTTGGATAATCTTTTATTGCTGATGAGGTGAGGGAAAGTGGGACTGGGACGGCCCTGCCAGGGCCGGTGTCACCCTTGTGCTAATCCCGGGGGTTTGGGCAGAGCAGGGACCAGGACCTGCCAGGGCTGGTGTCACCCCCGTGCCAGCTCCAGGGGTTTGGTTAAGTGGGGACCAGGAAATTCCTGGCATGGCCAGTGTCACCCCCATGCCTGTCCCAGGGGGAAGGCAAAGCAAGGACCAGGACAGCCCTGCCAGGGTGTCACCCCAGTGAGACAAGTGGAGACAAGGACAGCCCTGCCAGGTCCCATGCCACCCCCATGCCAGCCCCGGGGGTTCGGGGATGAATCCTGGCAGGGCCGGGCTGCTCCATCCCCATCCCACCCACGAGCTCCAAGGATCCTGATCCCCCAGCTCGTCCCAGGCTATTTTGGGGTGCAGCCCCTTTGCCCAGGGGTGTTTGGGGGGCACTGGGGGCCAACTGGTGCCCGCCTGCCCATCCTGGGAGGCCGACTTGGCCCCGCTTCCCCTGAGCTCAGCAGCTTTCCCGGCTCACCTGTTCCTGGGCCGGCTCGGGCTGCAGCAGATGGCAAAGCCCACCCTAATGAAGATTAATTGAGGAGATTTCGCCTTCCCCGCCGGGTTTTCATTATTGTTTTGGGGGAGGTTTCATTGCTGCTGGGGCCGGGCTCTGCTCCTGCTGGGTCCTGTCCCCGTGTCCACGCAGTGCCATGTGCTGGGAAAGGGGGCTGGAGATGGGAATTTTATCTGGGAGAGGTGAAACACCGGCTCTGCCTCTGCTCCCTCATCCCCCGGGATGGGGAAGCCCTGCAGCTCCTGTCCCTCTCTCCCTGTCCCCTCCCCTGCCAGCATTCCTCGGCTTTCCAGCTCCTCTTGGAAAGTGCGAAGAGCAGCGAACTGGGATGGGATCCTGGCACTGCCGGTCCCCAGCGGGGTTTGATGGAGGGCTGAGGATGTAAAACCCCCCATGGGTGCTTGGTAGAGCGGCTGCGAGCGGAATTCCTGCCCGGGAGGGATGGGGGATGCTGGTTCCTGGCTCCCCTCGCTGCCTTCAGGCATCTGACCCTTCCCTAAGCCGCTTAAGCGCTGCCGGCAGCCGGGACGGGGCGTTTGCCCAGGCTTTACAAGTTAATTCCTAGCAGGTGATGTGTTCCCAGAAAGTTCCTTTCCCAGCCAGCCCCGTGGGACCTCTCATGCCTGTATCCTTCCCCAAATCCTACGGGATGCTGCCTGGGAGGGCAGGTTTCCATCACGGTGCTGCTCCAGAGCCAGGGCCACCCACAGCAAAGTCCCAGGCACAGGGACCCCCCTCCCTGCTCGCTGGATGAGGCGAGGGGCACAAATCTTTGCAGGCTGGGAGATTTCTGCCTTCTCCTCTGCTTTGTGCTTCGCTGCCCGTGTAATTGCCTGCTAAATCCTGCTTGGATAATCTTTTATTGCTGATGATGCACGAAGCTGCGAGCTCTGCCCTGGGCTGTGTTTGCTCCTCAGCCCAGAGCCTGGCACCCACCCCCTGCCCGTGCCACGGGGGTGCCGCTGTTCCCTGTGGGGTTTCACTCCAGAACTGCTGTGCTGGAGGAAAAAAACCCAATTAATAATTCAGAGGGAGAAGGAGCCGGCTCCAACCTTCTGCCTTGCGGGTGGGGAGAGCCCGGGAGAGCAGCAGCGCAGTGAGGACAGGGTGGTGACACGGCTGTGACACCCCTGGCCCCTTCCTGGCTCCAGCTCTCCCTCCTCCCTGCTCTGCATCCAGCCCTTCTCCCATTCCCAAGGGTTTTTTTGCTGTCGGTCCCACCTCCAGCAGCATTTTGGGGAAAAGGACCCATCTGTCCCCTTTAGGCTGTGCCACCCTCATCCCCCTCATGCCAGGGCTGGGTTAGGAACCCCTGGTCCCACACGGGGCTGTGGGGTCAGTGGGGAGGGGTCCTGGATGTTCCCACTGAGGGACAGAGCACCAGCCCCTCTCTGCTGTGTCCCCTGGTGCCTTCCCAGTGGCACTGGGACAGCTGGGACAGGATTCACCCCTCTGATGATTCTGCCCAAAAATCCCACATCAACAACACAAAGAGATAGGAACGTCCTCTTGAGCAGGGGCTGAGCCCCCCACACCCCCCGGATTAATTAAAGAGATTTCTCCTTCCCCACTGGGTTCTCATTATTGCTTTGGGGAGGCTCCATCCACCCCTGGTGGCCCCCGGGCATTGTCACCACGAGAACACAGCCATGGGGCTGAGATGGGTGCCACCAGCTCGAGGACAAGGTGCCAGGGCCACCAGGGCTCAGCCAGGCCGTGCCAGTGCCAGCCAGCCTGGTGTGCCCGTGGTCCCCTGTGCCATCCTGGAGTGGCAGTGACGGAGCAGTGAGTGGCCCTTTGTGTCACGTGGCACAAGCCCTCCGCTTTCCTTTTTTAGAATCGCTGGATCAGGGGAAAAAAAATGTATTTTTGGAGGTTTCATTTGCTTCAGCTTCAGAGTCGACTTTCTTTTTTTCTTTTTCTTTTCTTTTTTTTTTTTTTTTTTTTTAATTCCCCTCCTTATTTTAAATGGGCCAAAGCCCCTCGTGCCTGAGCCCGGCTCTCGGGGAGGAGCAGCCTCAGAGCTGTTCCTGGGGACTTTTTCCCTGGGTTGGCACTTCCCAGGTGTTGCTGGCAGGTCCCCACGGTGCCAGTGATGCTGGGGACAGTCCTGAGGAGCTCTGGTCCCCTTCCTGCAGCACCAGAACCCTCCACAGTGCTGGACCCCCCCCCGTGTCCCTCCCTGCCTTTAATTAAGAAGCTGCAGGGCTGCGGCAGAGCTGGCACCGAGCCCCACGGCAGCTCCTGGGCTGCCCAAGGCTCCATGCCACCATCTAGAGGCAAAACGTGTCCCCAGTGGCTCTGCCACGGCCTGGGGAGGTCTTGACTGGGGGGTTCAGGCTGTGAATGAGGGGTGGGGTCCCCTGGCTGTCCCTGTGCCCCCCACTGACACTTTGTCCTTCCAGATTCCTCCTCGTCTTCAGCTGCCTGGTGCTGTCGGTCTTCTCCACCATCCAGGAGCACCAGAAACTGGCCAACGAGTGCCTCTTCATCCTGGTGAGTGATGCAGGAGCGGGGCTGCTGCTCGGATTTCCTCTCCCCACTTGACATCCTGAAAGAATCGGGCGAGATCGCGGGCAGAACCCCCGTGACCTCATCACCAGTCACTGACGATCCCGTGGCACCTCGGGGGTGGCCTGGCCGTGGGTGTCACCGCGGCTCAGGGTGGCCCATCCCACCATTGTCCCTCCGTGCGCCAACCGCTGGAACAGGCAAGGCACGAGGGGCTAAAAAAGGCAACTTTCCCCCAAACTGTCAGAAAGAGCTGACGCAGGGACTTCTCCCGAGTGACGGAGACTAAATTGGGAAGGTCCTTGTGACTTTCCTGCGAGTAAGCAGAACGGGGGCTTGTTTGTGCGAGAGGTAGGAGGACAATGCTGACAGAGGAGGAAAAGGACCCAGCTCGGGGCGAGGAGGAGAGCAGCCATTCCCTCACAGCCATTCCCTCCGTCTCACCGCCCTCATCCCCCGGCGCGGCTCTGCCAGCTTTGCTGGGGCCACCCCGCACCGCGCTCAGCCCGATTTCACTTTGCCCCCCTCAAATCTGAGCCCCTACCCTCTTTTATTCCTCTTTTCCCCCGTCAGGAATTCGTGATGATCGTGGTGTTCGGCATGGAGTACATCGTCCGCGTGTGGGCCGCCGGCTGCTGCTGCCGCTACCGCGGCTGGCGCGGGCGCTTCCGCTTCGCCAGGAAACCCTTCTGCGTGATAGGTACGGGCTGGCACGGCCACCAGCTCCTCTGCTGCAGCCTGGCAGGGTGGTAGGAACTCTGCAAGCGTCTTTGAGGCGTCTCCTTCTGAAGCTGCTCGGAGTCAGGCCACCGGAGCAGACATTTCAAGTCTCAGCTCAGCGGGGGAAGGACAGGAAGGGTCTTTGCGTGATGTATTCCTGTGAGGTTTATTCCAAAGCACGCTAAAGAGATCACGGACAAAGACAAAACCATGGGTATTAATTAGCATTGACTCCATGATTCTCCGAAGGCTGATTAATCACTCTAATATACTGTACTTATTGAGAAACCCATCACCCTTACACACAGTCCGATACAGATTTGACCTAATTGGTCCTTGAATCCAAACACCATCACCATTGGCCAATTAAGAAATCACCCTTTGGCAAACAAATCTCCATAATACATTCCACACGTGCACAACAACGGGTGCAGCAAGTGATGGTAAGAATTGCTTCTCATTTTTTTCTCTGAGCTTCTCACAGCCTTTCCCAGGACAATGCCTGGGAAAAGTTGTGTTTATCTCTGTGGCCAGAGAGCTGCTGCCACACCATGGGGTCTGCACACACTTAAGTATGTTCTTCAATGTGTGTTTGAGACAATATCTTCAATTGGTGGAATATATATAATGTCACCTAAAAGTGTATGGTAAATACAATTGTTTAGAGCCTAACGGTTTTCTTTACTGGAACTTGGAAAGCTTTGAAGCTTTTTTTTTTCAAATTTTATATTCAGTAAAAGCAAGCTATTTTGGAAAGTTTCTAGAGAAAGAATATGTACATGGGGAAAACAATATAATAATAGAATATATAAGGTTGTTCCAATGCTTGACCACTCTTTCAGTGAAGAATTTTTTTCTAATATCCAACCTGAACCTTTCCTGATGCAACTTGAGTCCATTTCCCCTTGTTCCTTCACTGGAAGAAGAGACAGATTCCTGTGTCCTCACACCTTCTTTCAGGCAGTGCTAGAGTGCTAACATCACCCCTGAGCCACTTTTTTCCAAGCTAAACAACCCCAGCTCCCTCACAGCACTTATGTTCAAACCCTTTACCAGCTAATACAATAATAAATTAATAACATAACACATTAGTACGACACCACAACTTTGCAGGGGATTTTATTGTTGATTTTAACGGGCGGACTTCGGGATAACCCACACACCTCCTGAGCCTCTCTGTCCCCTCAGACTTCATCGTCTTCATCGCCTCGGTGGCCGTCATCGCCGCGGGCACGCAGGGCAACATCTTCGCCACGTCGGCGCTGCGCAGCATGCGCTTCCTGCAGATCCTGCGCATGGTGCGCATGGACCGCCGCGGCGGCACCTGGAAGCTGCTGGGCTCCGTCGTCTACGCCCACAGCAAGGTGAGAAAAACCACCCAGGGATGTCCCCCGGAGTGTCCCCGAGCGCGTCTGAGCCGCCGTGCCCCGCAGGAGCTCATCACCGCCTGGTACATCGGCTTCCTGGTGCTCATCTTCGCCTCCTTCCTCGTCTACCTGGCCGAGAAGGACGCCAACGTCCAGTTCGCCACCTACGCCGATTCCCTCTGGTGGGGCACGGTAAGCTCGGCCCCCGCGGCCCCCCGGGGACAGGAGGGGACGGGGCCGTGCTGGGGGAGCGCCCTGCAGGCCCCCCGCTGTTGTGCCCCCGGGCAGGTGACCCTGACCACCATCGGCTACGGGGACAAAGCGCCGCAGACGTGGCTGGGCCGGATGCTGGCGGCCGGATTCGCCCTGCTCGGCATCTCCTTCTTCGCCCTGCCCGCGGTGAGTGGGGCCGGGAGAGGCTCAAAATAGGGGGGAAAGGGGCAGAGCCGCCTCTGTGTGGAGTCTGGTCTGTGCTGGCACTCACAGCCCTGTCCTCTCCTGTCCCCAGGGGATCCTGGGCTCCGGCTTTGCCCTCAAAGTGCAAGAGCAGCATCGGCAGAAGCACTTTGAGAAGAGGAGGACCCCGGCAGCCAACCTGATCCAGGTGAGGCAGCTCTGGCGTGTCCCGCCCCAGCCCTTCCCGGGAATGCTCTGCTGTCCCCTCCTCTGTCTGCCCATCCAAACTCCCGGCCCCACCTCCAGCACCGACATCCTGCGGGTTGCCCGCTGCCTCCTGTGGGGGCCAGGAGGGATGGAGGGGTCCGGGAGGGTTCTCCCATCCCGATGGGTCCCGATTCCCGGGAATCTCGCTCCCTGCAGGCTGCCTGGCGCCTGTACTCCACGGATGCCAGCCGGGTGTACCTGACGGCCACGTGGTGTTACTACGACAGCCTCCTGCCCGCCTTCAGGTAGGAGACAGGGGGTGAGGGCTGGGGGGATGAAAACCCTGGGAAACCAGAAGGGACCTTGTGGAACCCCCAGGAGTTCAGTGGGGTCGAGCAGCGGCGACACCTTCCCAGGATGGGAGTCTGCTGAAGGAGCCTCCTTCATCCTCATCATCCTCACAGCGCCCATCCCATCCCCTCTCACTCCATCCACAGCCTTCCTCCAGCGCCACAGGGAAGGGGTGGTGCCTCGGGGAGCCCACGGTTGTGGTGGTGGAGCTGCAGCCAGACAGGAGCTGGTTCCAGGTGTGGGGGAATCCAGTGGGATCCAGCGGGAGCCCCTTGTCCCGCCCCTGCAGCGTGTCCCTCCTGTGATCCCTGGGATTTTGCCACTGTGGGTGGATCAGAGGCTTCCCAAAGGTTTTCAGATCTCTCTTCTGGATCCTGAGAGTTTGCCACAACGCTGTGAGCATCCCTGCCCTGCTCTGGCCATGTGAGAAATTCATCTCTCTGTCCCACTCTCAATTTTTCCAAAGGCAGGGCTTTCAACAGCCACAGCCCCGAGTCCCAGCTTCCCGAGCATCACCCCGGATCCTGGGAATCTCTGGGGGCTCTGCTTCCCCTCCTGCTGTGCCAGGAGCCGTGTTCCCTGCGGTGGAATTCACACAGAGCCAGATTCCATCCCTGCTGGCTCTGAGCTTTCCCCTTCTGGCTGGAGCCCAGGATCTGATGGTGACAGGTCCCCATGTCCTCACCCTGTCCCAGATTTGTCCTCACCTGATCCATCCCCCTCAGCACGTCCAACCCTTCCTTCTGTGCAATCCTGTCCCAGGACCTTCCCCAGCCTCATCACCCCCAATTAAGAAACCATCTTTTGAACAAAAATGCTGATTTTTTCTTTGTTTTGTTTTGTTTTGTTTTGCTCTGGTTTTGCTTTGGTTGGCATTCAGGACGACCCAGAGCTGCTCAGCCTCGCTTTGCTGGTTCAGTTTGCTTTGGAAATTTTAATTTCTCCCCGTTTTTATTTCACCCCGACCTCAGAGAGCTGGTCCTTATATTTGAGCATTTGCACCGGGTCCGCAACGGAGGATTTAGGAACTCAGAGGTGAAAAAATGGCCTGACAGAGCCCCACCACCCTACCACTGCTTCACCCCTGCCCAGAAAACCTTCAGCCTGGCCGTGTGTTCAGGGGAAAGGTAGGAGGGGGCAGCCCCTGTGTTCTCCCTCCTCTCTGCTCTGTCTCTGCTCCTCTGTGCCCTCCTGAGATGTCACTGTCACTGTCACTGTCACTCTGTCAAAGCCAGACCCGAGGTGCCACCACCCCAAAGTGTCCCTGCTCCCCACTGGTGCTGGGCATCCCCCCTGCTCCTGCTGCTGCTCCCAGCTCCGTTCCAGCTCCAGAAGGGGCAGATTTGAGCCCAGGGGACACTCTGGGCTGTTGTACCTGAGTGAGGTCACCTCGCTGCCCTCTTCACATGGCTGCCACCCCGGGGCGTGGCACAGGGTAACTGAGAGTGGCAGAAAACCCCTTGGCAAGGGCAGTGGTGCCAGCCTGGCAGGATGGAGCCACGGGGCCACGCTCCAGAGCCTGGGAAAGAGCAAATCCCAGAGCCTGGGGGTGGGAAGGGCTCCTGGAGCCCATGAGGAGAGAAGGGAGGGCTGGAGGCTGCCCTGCTGCTGCTGGAGGCTGCTCTGCACCGTGTCCCTTGTCCCCTCTGCCTGAAGAGGAGATCCCAGCGTGCCACCAATGCTGGCCACCCCCCAGGACATCGGGCCGGGGTTAGGTGGGGAGAGGCCTCGTGCCTCAGTTTCCCCCATGGTGCCACATCAGCAGGGCTGAGGCTGCAGGTGTGGGGCTGAGCGGGACCTGCTCCCCCAGGTGAGTTCGGGGCTTGGGGGGCTCCTCCCTGGGCTTGGCAACCAACCAGGTACTGGCAGGGGAAGGACAGAACCCCCCCTCGGGGGCCCGAGCCCGCCCGTCTCCCCCGCGAGCACACCTCTCATAACATCTCATCTTCTCTCTCTCCTCCCTCTCCCGCTCACCCTCCTCCTCCTCTCCATCCCTCCACCCTCCTCCAAACCCGCCGTGCCCCCCTCCCTCTGCCCCAAGCTGGAATGAGGAGGACGCGCAGCCCCACAGGTGTTTACGCCTCAGGTAAAGCTCGCCCCCGGCCGCGGGGAGCCCCCCCCGAGCCCGGCGGGGCCACCACGGTCCCTGTGCTCGGGGACTGTCCCCAAACCCTCCTGGTAGAGCCGAGACAGCGCACAGGTGTTTATGCAGGACCTACACAACCACAGACGGCTGTGGCACCCACGGTGGCACGGCGGGGACGGGCAGGCGCTGGCCCGGGACGCTCGGCTCCCTCCGCCCGGGGCTGATTCTCTTTTCTCCTGTGTCTCTGCCCTGCCCCTCCAGCCCCATCTTTAGTGGTAAGAGGAGGCTCTTGCAGACGTGGGGCACGTGGAGACGGAGGTACCGTGTCCCGCCCGAGAGCGGCACCGGGAGCCTCGGGATGCATGGATGCACCTCTGCCTGCGTGCCTGCGGCATGGACAGGGCTGGGCACCGAGGCACGGGGGGTGGAGGCTGGATTGGGGGACCCTCGGCAGGGCAGGGAGGCTGTGCATGGCCTGGGCCGAGCTGTCCCCCTGTCCCTTACTGCCTCAGTTTCCCCGTTGTAATGTGGATGAGCACGGGTTGGTGGCAGCCACCTCCAGCACTTGGATAAATCAATCCCATAAATCCCAGCTGTGTGTGCCAGTCTGATTCCCGGGACACAGCCCTTCCCAGCTTGGGAATGTGTGAGATGTGTGGCAGCCCCACTGCCAGCACGGGGAAGGGCTGTGAGCACTGTGCCCTGCCAGGACCCTGCCTGTATCCCAGCCAGAACCCTGCCAGGACCATGCCTGTATTCCTGCCAGGACCCTGCCTGTATCCCTGACAGGACCCTTCCTGTATTCCTGTCCTGCCAGGACCCTGCCAGGACCCTGCCTGTATCCCTGACAGGACCCTTCCTGTATTCCTGCCTGTATTCCTGCCTGTATCCCTACCAGAACCCTGCCAGGACCGTGCCTGTATCCCTGCCAGGACCCTGCCTCTATCCCTGCCTTGCCCTGCCTGAGGAAATCCAGGAATGTCCCCAAACGCCGGGGTCTCATGGATCCTGTCCTGCAGGGGGTGTGGGATTCACTCCGTGCCCTCCCCAGCTTTAGGGTCCTTCCCTGTGTGTCCCCTTGAGCTGCATTTGGGGTCTCTCATCATGCAAAATATGGGGGGTTTGAGTAGGTCCTGCATAAAAAATGCCCGAAATTGCAGCTGGGTTTGGGAGCAGAACTGGCGGTAGGGCAGGAGCAGAGCCTGGACTGGGAGGTGCAGCCTGGAGGAGGAGGAGGAGGAGGATGAAGCAGCTTGGCCGGGTTTGGACACCCCGTGCCAACAGGGATGGAGCAGGAGCAGAGCTCTGCTCAGCTCAGAGGTGGCTCTGCCGCGTGTCCCCTGCTGCCACGCCTGTCTGTCCCCTCTCTCCCTGTCTGCCACCTCCTTTCTCTGCTCTTGGGACCAAAAAAAGCGATTTAAAGGAGCAACCGCAGAGCTGCCCCTGCAGGAACCGCCTGCCGGGTGCTCTCTGCGAGCTCAGCACGGCCACCCCCGCTTCAAACAGGGGTCACCCCTTCCCTGTCCCTGTCCCCACGGCCCTGACACCGCCCTGCCGCTGTCCCCGCGCAGCAACAAGATGGGCATCAAGGAGCGGATCCGGCTGAGCAGCTCGCAGCGCCAGGGCAGCCGCGGCCGGCAGCAGCACCTGGGGCCGCCCCTGCACCGCTCCCCCAGCACCGAGGACGTGGCCGAGGCCTCCAGCCCCACCAAGGTGCAGAAAAGCTGGAGCTTCAACGACCGCACCCGATTCCGAGCATCCCTGAGGCTCAAGCCGCGGACCCCGACTGAGGGTGAGCCCCTGGGGGACACTGTGGGGGGCTGCAGGGTTGGGGACAATCCTCGGGCTCTGCCATCCCCCCGCTCTTGGCACCCACAGCCGACTGCCCGCCGGACGACAGCGGCGAGGAGAGGAACTCCCCCTGCGACCTGACCTTCGAGGACATCATGCCGGCAGTGAAGACCCTCATCCGGGCTGTCAGGTGAGACTGTCCCCTCCCGTGTCCCCCGGCGTGCACAGAGCCCCCCGGGCACCCCGTTCCTGCCTCCAGCCCGGCTGTCCCCGCAGGATCCTGAAGTTCCTGGTGGCCAAGAGGAAGTTCAAGGAGACCTTGCGTCCCTACGACGTCAAGGATGTCATCGAGCAGTACTCGGCGGGACACCTGGACATGCTGGGCAGGATCAAGAGCCTGCAGACACGGTGAGGTCGCCCTGCAGGTGACCCTGGGGGTTCTCCCACATTCCCGAGCCCTTGGGAGTGATGGATGGGCTCTGCCCCTTCCTTCCCTCCCTGCCAGCGTGGACCAGATCGTGGGCAGGGATCGGGCGCTCCCCGCGGACAAGAAGGTTCGGGAGAAGGGGGAGAAGCCGGCGCTGGAGGCGGAGCTGGACGAGCTCAGCATGATGGGACGCGTGGTCAAAGTGGAGCGGCAGGTCAGGAGGGGACAGCCCGATGCCTCCAGCCCCCCAGGAACCCCGGCAGACAGCGGGGGGACACTCTCTGGTGCCCCGAGGGTACCAAGGCAGCTAAACTAGTCACCTTTGCAGCAGAAGAGATGCTAGAGACGTCGGTAGAGGATGAAAGGGCTGAGTCTTAGCAGGGGTTAATCCAAGGTTTTATTCGGAGCTCCTGAGAGCACCCACACCTCAGGGGGTGCTCAGAGCACCTGGGAGAGGTGCCAAGGTTACATTTAAAGGGAGATGTGAACCAAAAAGTAGATAATTTTGCTGGTCAATAAAGAAACTTCAGGGATGAACACTTAGGGAATGGACATTTGGGATAGTGTATGGGGCAGCACCTGGGGGGTTGACCCCTGGCCTCTGACTGATCACTCGATGACTTGGACTGAAAGTTCTAGATGGAAAGGATGGGATGTGAGTGATTGACAGAGAGCCAGAGTGGGGATTTGGGGATGATTTCAACAAAGGAGAATGATTCCACAGGTAGAGGGAGGGGGTACAATCAGGGATAAACCATTTGGTAAAAATAAGGGGATCCAAAACCAAAACCATTACAAAGCATGAAAACACACTACAACACCCCGGCAATGTCACCATCCCTCGGGAGGGGCAGGGGAGCCCCCCGCGACCCCTCCGGGGGGGTGGGCCAGGCTGAGCTCCTCCCTGCCGTCCTTGCAGGTGCAATCCATCGAGCACAAGCTGGACCTGCTGCTCGGCCTCTACTCGCAGTGCCTCCGCAAGGGCTCCAGCAACTCCTTCAGCCTGGCCGCGGTGCGGGCGCCGCCCGGCGAGCCCGACATCACCTCGGACTACCACAGCCCCGCGGAGCACGAGGACATCTCCGCCTCCGCCCAGACCCTCAGCATCTCCAGGTCGGCCAGCGCCAACATGGACTGAGCAGGAGGCAGCGGGATGGACCCTGCCCGCCGGGGATGGGGCGCTGGGGCGGCGTGGCGCTGTCCCCTCGCTGTCACCTCGCTGTCACCTCGCTGTCACCTCGCTGTGTTGCTTGAACCGAGTCTTCCTCTGCGGGGACACGGCTGCAGCAGGGTGGCTGTGGCAGTGTGGCATGGCCAGCCCAGGCTCCTGGGATGTTCCTGGGACATTCCTGGGATGCTCCTGGGGGTGATTCTGGGGTATTCCTGAGATGCTCCAGGGACATTCCTTGGAACGTTCCTGGGATATTCCTGGGGATGCTCATGGAATATTTCTGGGGATGTTCCTGGGATGCTCCTGGGATGTTCCTGAGGAGCTCCTGGGATGTTCCTGGGCTATTCCTGGGATGTTCCTGGCTTCCTGTAGGATGACATCCCCCCAGCTCCGGGGTCCTGGGTGCTCCCCAGCTGTGGTGGGGATGCTCTGGGCTGGCCCCATCCCCTGGGGTTTGGTTTGAACCCCATCCCCAGCCCTCAGGACAGGTCCTGCCTGGTCCCCCAGAGCTGAGCCGGGGCCACCATCAGCTATGCAAGGTCCCACCTCCTTCTTGCTGCCAGTGCAGGGGTGTGGGGGCACGACCCAGGGTGGTTTTACCCGCGTCACTCGGGGTCCCCTGTGTGGGGAGCAGGGGACTGTCCCCCCTCCCTAGGCTGCACCTCTCCAGAAGCACAGCAGAGCCTTCTGCCTGCCCGTGCATGCTCCCAGGGCAATATATATATAGAAGATATATATATGTATTTATGCAATAATGTCTTAATATGCAACACCCCTGGGAAGAGCAACCCGAGGGGCCATAGGCAATAAGCAACCCTCTGCCAGCTCCCAGGGCTGGACTGTGCTGCCCAGGAGGGCCCTGGAGGCCCTGAGGGCTCAAGGCCGGGGGGAAATCTCCACCTGAGGGTGGCCCTGGAGCCAGGAAGCTGAGCAGGGGCTGTGGGGACAGGCGCTGTCCCCAAGGAGTGTCTCTCCCTCTGTGCCCCAACCCCTGCTCCTGCTTAAAGGATTCCCTCCCTGCTGGGTCCTGCGGTGCTCAGTTTGTCCCTGTCCCCTCTGTGGTCCGGGGAGCACGGGCCGGGCCTGGAGGGGGCCTACCACAGGGTGGTGTCCTTGCATGTCACCTTCAGCAGAGCCACGACAGCTCCCGCGCTGCCCCAGTCCCCTGCGCTGCTCCCCAGCCCAGCAACACCGGGACTGTGCCAAAGCGCCGGGCTGGGGCTGCACCCGGGGCTCCAGGGGGTTCGGTGGTCTCCCCACAGTGCCAGGATCTGTCCTGGGCTGCTCCCCCCGCTGCCAGCTCCGCTCCTCTCTGGGATGGCACGGTGGGATTCGCACCCCTTCTCCCGTGCCCCTGCTCCGGGCACTGCGGACTCCCGACCCTGCTCGTCCCCTCGCCCCGTTAGTGCATGTGGCCAGCGCGGGCCGTGCCAGAGCTGCTTGAACCCCCCCACCCTGCTCCTGCCCTCCCCCCGGGGGTGCCCGGGCGGTGCGACACCAGGGGACAGCGCTGGGTGGGTGGCCGTGGGGCCAGGTGCATGCGACAGCTTTGCCCGCAGCCGCACGCAGGAATTAACCCTTAGAACCCCCCTCCCGAGGCTGGCTGGTCCCCGCAGATCCCCCCGAGCCAGCGGTAGTTACCTCACTTGATTAACTTATTAACTTATTTGTTTCATTAAAATTTGGAGTAGAGGCTGCCCGCCTGCTGCCGTCTGTGTCCCGGCGCTCCCGAGAGGTGGCACTCCAGCCCTGCCACCCAGCCGCGGCCAGGGGACAGCAACGTCCGGCCGGGGACACAAATGTCCGGCAGGGGACACAAATGTCCGGACTCCTCCCTGACCCCTTAAGCTGCAGAAAGCCACCGAGATGGGATTGAGAGCCCAGCTCCGGCTCTCTCGCCCTCCCCAGCTCCATCCTGTGCGCGGCGGGTGCAGGGCTGGTGTCGCTGCAGGAGGACCCGTGCGCCGCTTTTTTGGCACCTTACACGGAAGGGTCGCTGCCCCGGGAAGGGCTGTGCCCCCCCTGCCTGTTTGGTGTGTCCCCTCCCCAAATGGCGACGACGCTGCGATGTCCCCAAGGCCATCCCAGGGAGGTGAGGGTGGAGCCCCCTTCCCCAGGAGCCCCCAGACCCCTGTAGGGACAGCAAAGCTTCACCCCGTGGCTGTGAGCTGGCACCCCCGGGGACAACGCGTCCTGCAGCGATGTCGGGGCTGAGGCGGCCCCTTCCCGTGCCGCTGGCCGGAGAGGAAGCCGGGGCTGGCCGCGGCTCGGTCCCTGCCTTTCCTGGCTGCCTCCTGCCAAGAAACTCGCTCCAGGATCGCCTCGGAGCCGAGCTCTGCGGGGGCAGCGCCTCCGTGCCCCGCTCGCAGCGCCCCAGAGCTGCCCGGCTCGGGGATGGGGGGTTCGGGGTGCTCCAGCACCCCGGTTCCGCCGAGAGCCCGATGTGTGGGGTGTGATCCCTGGGGCGTTGGCTTTGGGGGGCACTGTGCCGGCCTCTCGCGGTGTTCCCAGAAGGGTGGGCGGCTTTCCCGGGTGGGTTTGGAGGGATTCATCCCTGCAGCTGTGGGATCTTCACCCCGCATCCAGCCCGGCTGTGTTCATGGGGCATCCAGGGCCAACCCAGCCGGGTGTGGGGTCTAAGCGGTGGGGACGGGGTCCTGGCAGCTTGTCCCTCCCCCGGCACGGCCGGGGCGGTGGCACAGGCAGGGTGTGTGCCAGCCCGCGGCTCTGCCTCCCGCCGTCACATGGGCCCAAGGTGCCCCGGCAGGACTTTGTCCCCCTCCACCTTGGTGGCCCCACGTGCGCCGAGGCTGCCACTCCCGGCAAAGGGGACACGAGCAGGGAGGGAGACGCTGGCGTCAGAGTGACACAGAGGGAGCTGTGACCTCGCAGGGCCAGCTGGCCGCGTCCCGCCGGAGCCCAGCCGCAGGAACGGGGTGAGGGGATGCACCAAACACTTGGACTGCCGCCGCTGCCGCCTCCGCGCAGCGCCTCTTATCAGCTGGCAGGGGGACAGGGTTGTTACGGGAACGGTCAGCTGCTCCCGGAGCACCCCACGGCTCCTCTGAGCTGTCAGGGAGCTGGCGGGGGCACAAGGACACAGAGCAGCGGCCGGGGATGTCCTTTGTGCCAGTGGCTTTGCTTTGTTCTCCGGGGGTCTTGGGGGAATTCGTGACTCACTGTGGAATCCAGTCATGCTGGAGACAGTCGGACTGGGCTGGACTCAGTTCCTTCCTGCGGCGCTCCAGCCTCCAGCTCCAGCGTTGCGTGCGCTGCCCAAGGACGCGCTCGCAGGAAAAGGCGCTTCCAAGAGCTCTTGGAAGCGGGGCTCCCTGCGGAGGGGGCTCCACAGGACCCCACTTCAGGCTCCCAGAGCACCCCGGACTCCCGGGGAGCAGGCAGCCCCCTTGCTCGGCGGGATTTGGCGCTCCCCACTTCCACTCCCTTGCCCGGAGTGGAGCCCACCCTGGCCGCGGCATCCCCGCCGTGGGCTCAGCCAGGAGCCCCTGGCCCGCGGCCCGCGGCCGTCCAGGGAACCCCGCGGTGCTCCCGTCCTGGCTGCCGCGAGGCATCCTCCAGGAATCCTTTGGCAGCGCCGGGAGATGCTCCCGGCCGGGCAGGGACAGCAGGAGCCCCGCGTGGGCGGCTGAGGTCCCGCAGCAGGTGCTGGTGCCGCGGGGGCACCGGGGCCTGGGGGGCGGCCAAACCCCCCCCGTTGTGGTCCCTGAGCGCGTGGCTGGGCGCTGACAGCCGGGCTGGATCCAAGTGACACCAGCTCCATGCCCTGGGTTGGGCTGGGCTGTCCCTGTCTCAGCTGTACCCCTGGAAGGGGGAGCAATGCAGCCCCCTCCCCTCCTCTCCGCACACCTGGGGAATGGGGAAACCCCCCAGGACGGCTCCCCCTGCATGGAGCAGGGGGTGCTGGCCCGATAGCCGAGACCCCCCCCATTTGGCGAGGGCAGTGCCGGGGGGCCCCGGGAGGGGATCAGGAGCCGGGGACACCCCGACCCCGCGGGGACAGAGGGGGCCACAAGTTCGGGGCCACAAGTTCGGGGCTCCTCTCTACAGCCCCAGGCCCGACCCCCGCCCCGCTGCGCTCCGCCCCGGGCCGGTCGCGACTGCCCCGGCGCCTCCCCGCGCCCCCCCGGCCGGGGCGCGGCTATAAGGAGCGGCGGGGGCCGCGGCGCGGGCGGGGG